GAGAGAGAGAGAGAGAGAGAGAGAGAGAGAGAGAGAGAGATCTTTTCTGTGGTAAAGAGGAAATAGTTATTATTTGTGTGCATTTTCACCAGGAAACTCAAGGTAGATAAATCAGAAACTAAGAAAAGCAGCTGTTATAGAGTAGGGGCAACTACACTTGTAAGGAGAAAGGATGGAAATAAGATCTTTTTCAGTATTTTATTGATTTCTAACTATGAAAATGTATTTCCTATTTTCAAACATTTTAATTAATAATTATTTAAAACATGTATACAAAGTACAACAATCTGCCTATAGAAAGTCACAGAATATTTTATTTATTTCATTTTTAAGAAACTTAAAAAAAGAAAAACTCAACAATTGCCAGGCATGGTGGTACATGCCTTTAGTCCCAGCACTTGGGAGGCAGAGGCAGGCGGATTCTGTGAGTTCAAGGCCAGCCTGGTCTACATAGTGAGTTCCAGGCCAGCTGTGGCTACAGGGAGACCCTGTCTCAAAAAAAAAAAAAAAAGCTTTTTGAAGGTTATAAAATAACTTCTCCATTTCAATTCCCTCACCCCCTCTGGTCTTTTTGAGACAGGGTCTCCCTGTAGTCCCAGCTGACCTGAAACACCCTATGCAGACCAGGCAGGCCTGAAACTCAGAGATCCACCTGCCCTCTGCCTTCTAAGTGCTGGACGATTAAAGGCGTGTGCTGCATGCCCGGCTTCCATTTTAATTTATGTGTAGGAGTGTGAATGTATATAGGTGCAGCATATGCATGCACTGCCTGCAGAGACGGGAAGAGGGCGTAACTTCTCCGTTTTAAAGACTTTCCAGGGGGAGGGGTCAGTTACTCATGTGAACTCGGCAATGGTGACAGCGTGCACAAGTCCCGTGCAACCTCAAACCAGACAAAATCCCAGCACAGACACGGGGAAGTGAGAAGTAAGAAGTCCCAAACCAACCGAAGAAACTTTAGGCAAGTGATAGCTGCTGGGAGAGGGACAGTCCCTTTCAAGGATGGGACTCTTGGCAGGTTAACCAGGCTCCAGTGGATAGACTCACACCGAAGGACATTAGGGGACACAAATTAGACTCTATAGGTTTTATAAGATACAAAAATTAAAATACATTAAACTTGGTGGGGGGCAGTAAGAGGAGGTGAAGACAGGGGAGGGGATCTAAACACCATCAAATTACAAAGCATGAAAATATTTTAAAAATCAATTAAAATTTTTTAAAAGGGAAGGAAATATGTAATAAAAGAAACACAGGCAAGTTTTTATAACCATCTTTAATCATATGAAATTACTCATATTAACTTGGAAATTTTAAAAAGAGCCCACTAGTAACTGGGAGAAAGTGTGCATTTTTCTTCCTGATCTTTTCTTCCAGTGAAAATAACAATTCTCTCCAGAGGTAATTTGCTTTGGACTCCTATATTCAAGTTTTACAGAGTTTTCAAATCAATATTTATTGAGTACTCAATGTAACAATGGCAATGGCAATCCATGATTTCTATGATGGAGTTTTATAAATGAAGAAACTGAGGCTTAGAGACACTAAGTACCATTCCTACTACAGTATTAAGAAGCCATAGAATATGGTACACACTAAGCAGGCTTGGTGGCACCTGGCTATAACCCTACTACTCAGGAACTAGAAACAGGAAGATTGAGTTCAAGGCCAGCCTAGGTTACATGAGACTCTATCTCAAAGAAAGAATATGATACAAACCAGGATCTCCTGACTATAGTATTCTTGCTTTATCCAGACTGGTCTAACACTTCTACACTACCATGGTTTCCTTTACAGTTGGTAAAGCTAACCCTGAACGCACATGCACCCAAATATCAGTGGTAAAAGAATTACACAGAACGCTTGGTAGCTCTGCTCCTGGGATGCGAGGATCGGCTGGCAATGGACCAAAGAATCTGCATTTCTAACAAGTTTCCAGGTGACTCTGGAGCAGTGTATCCAGGGACACTTTAATAATTTGACCCAAATTAGGCACTTTTCCTCATATATTAGCTAAACAATAATAATTCAGTGTCAGTTTGGAAAACAAACATGTCTATAAAAACTTGAAACTTCAGAAAGAAAACAATCTTGCTAGCACATACGTAGAGCCAAAACTCACAATATATGTGATTTAGATTGGCACTTTGCTAAGAGAAGTCACTAGCACGCAGAAAGGTCAGCATTCCTCTTGCTGCAGATGGAAGTCATTTCCTGGAAAAGTGGACACTAAACAAACAAAAAAAAAGCAATGCTAGCCATCTGCTGCCAACCAGCAACACAGTTTTCTATGGAAGTTAAAAGTTATGAATTTCATGTGTCTTGAAAATAGTTTTCCTGACAAAACTAAAGCCAAAATTGTATTCACTAAATAAAGTAGCACTTCAGTACTGCTGCCGTGGGATTTTGTTTGCTTATTAAACTTTATCCTATGCAGAGTTGACCACTGAAACAAAAACAACTAGATCAAATGATGTACCATACACTCCCTCTCTCCTCCTTTCCCTCTCTTACTACACAGGGTTGGGCTGTGAGGGAGAGGCTAGTTTTCAAACTGTTATGGATGAGGTGAATGTATGTATAGGTAGAGACAGACACTCAACTAAAAAGCTTTTGGGATACCTTTTTGGCTATTTAAAAATTAAATAATCAAAATTAGCTTGTTTGATGAGTGGTAACTAGAATACTTGTCTGTAAACATAGGATACACATTTTACACATAGTAAGAAATCACATTAGTCTTGTGATGTGACAATCTTGGGGTTTTCTCCAAGATCTATGGCCATTCCAGCCATGCGTATTAGGCTATGCTTACATTACCACACCTGAGTTTCCTCCTTTTGA